CCACTCCCCACTCCCTCCCGGGTAAGCCCACGCCCCGCTCCCCACTCCCTCCCGGGTAAGCCCGCACCGCTCTCCCCACTCCCTCCCGGGTAAGCCTGTGCCCCACTCCCCACTCCCTCCCAGGTAAGCCCGCGCCCCACTCCCCACTCCCTCCCGGGTAAACCTGCACCACTCTCTCCGCTCCCTCCCGGGTAAGCCCGCGCCCCGCTCCCCTCTCCCTCCTGGACAAGCCCGCACCCTGCTGACCTCACAGGTCTGCTGGTGACCTGTTTCCAGAGACCAGTGAGGCCACTGCGGGCCTTGACTGGCTGGGCCCGAGTCCCACCCTTACCTGGGTTCCAGTGGGCCGTTTCCCCGTTGTCTTCCCCCGTGTCTCCAGCTCAGTCATACTTTTTACTCCTGTGTTTAACATACGTGTATTATTTTTCACACAACGAGTTTATGCTCTGTGTTTCACGGCTTTATGGAGAGAGAATTCACACACGTGTCATCTAAAGTGTGCAGTTCCGTGTTTTCAGGATGTTCACAGGTTGTACAATCTTCATTGTAATTTAATTGTAGAACCTTCTTTGGTCCCCCCAAAAGAACCCCATTCCCACCAGCCGTCACTCCTCATTCCTCCCACTGCAGCCGCTCACCTGCTGTCATCTCTGTAGTGTGGCCTTTTGGGCGTTTTCTGTAAACGGCATCCTACCGTGCGTGGTCTCATGTGACCAGCTTTCTTTCCCGGGTGTGCTGTTTCCGGGGTCGCCTGTGCTGTAGCGTGAGGCAGTATCAAAGTCCTCCTTGTGGCTGACGGTGCCCCACTGTGTGGACAGACCACGTCTGCTGCTTCCACTCCTCTGCTGACAAACGGTGCTGCCGTGAGCGTGTGTGGACAAGTCTGTGTGGACGTGTCTTCAGTTCTCTTGAGCAGGTGGCTGGGAGTGGGGTTGCTAGGCCAGGTGTTTAACTGAGGCTCTGTCAGACACTCCCCAGCGGCTGCCCCCACCTTGAGTTCCCACTTGGATCACCGCCAGCGCTGCATGATCATTCCCAGTTTCCATCCCATCCTCGCTCGCACTCATGGCTGTTTCTCAGCAGAGCCATCCTGCCGGGGTGAGACGGTATCTCACAGTGGTTTCGGTTTGCATTTTCCATTTTTTGTGGGGAACAGAGTCTTGCTCTGTTACCCAGGCTGGAGTGCAGTGGTGCAGTCACGGTTCACTGCAGCTTCAACCTCCCTGGCTCAAGTGATCCTCCTGCCTTGGCCTCCTGTGTAGCTGGGACTATAGGCATGTGCTACCATGTCCAGCTAATTTTACTGTCTGCAGAGATGGAGCCTCACTTTATTGCCCAGGCTGTTTTCAAACCCCTGGGCTCAGGCAGTCCTCCTGCCTTGACCTCTTAAAGTATTGGGGTTACAGGTATGATGAACCACTGCGCCTAGCCAGAAGTTTTCAATTTTGAGCAAATCCAGTTTTACGTATTTATCTTTGGTTTCTGTGCTTTTGTGTCATATCTAAGAAACCATTGCCTAGTTCAGGATAATGGAGATTTAATTCTGTGTTTTCTGTCAAGGGTTTTATCATCCCAGCTCTTACATTCAGGTCTTTGAGCCATTGTGATTTAGTTTTTATGGTGTGAGGCTGGGGTCCGGCTTCATTCCTCTGTGTGCGGACATCCAGCTGTCCTGGCACCGTTGCTGAAAGCCTGTCTTTCCCTGATGAGGGTCTTTTGGCTCTGTGTCGTAGTTACCCATGTGGGTTGTTCCTGGACCCTCACTTCCGGTCTGTGGACCCACGCGGCACAGAGCTCACCTTTGGGGAGGCCCAATCATCTTCGTGCTGCTGCCACTGTGTGTGCTTTGACGTTGTACCTAGGATGCTGGGGCTGCCCCATGCTCCCGAAGCCTTCCTCCCGTTTTCTCCTAGGAACCTTATAGTTTGGCGCTCCCTGTCTCTGGAGCCTGTCATCCGCTTGATGTGTGATGTTTGGTGCGGCCCTGCTTCGTTCTGTTGGTGTTGATTCTGGTTGTCGCAGCACTGTTGTTGAGAGGGCTGTTCCTGCGCCTTGGACTGTCTTGGCGCGCTCTCGGCAGTCTGCACCTGAGTATGAGGGTTGACCTCTGGACTCTTGTAGCGTGTAGGCGAGAGGGTTGATCTCTCGACTCAGCTCTGCTCTGTCCGTCTGTACGTCCGTTCTGTCCGTGTATGTGTCCATCCTCTATGAGGGCTGAGTTTTAAAATTGGGAAGTGCGTTTTCCAACTTTGTTCTTTCCCAGGATTGTTTTGGCTGTTCTAGGTCCTTGCATTTCCATGTGAATTTCAGCGTGAGCTTGTCAATTTCTGCAAAACAGCTGACTGGGATTTTGAGACAGTGTAGAATCGTGGGTCAGTCTGGGGAGCCCCTCCATGTCAGTGAGGCCACACCCTGCGATCTGTGCCCGTGGGCAGGTTTCCCCTTATCCGGAGCTGACACCCTTTCAGAGGTGTCCCTTTATCCAGAGCCCACACCTTTTCAGGGGTTTCCGTTTATCCAGAGCTGACACCGTTTCAGGGGTTTTTGTTTATCCAGAGCCCACACCCTTTCAGGGGTTTCCGTTTATCCAGAGCTGACACCGTTTCAGCAGCGTTGTGGAGTTTTGGTCAGATGCACCTCGGAATCCCATGCTGCACCCGAGCCTCGCGTGCTCTCTGATGCCACGGTCGAGGTTCTCCTGCCGCGGTCGAGGTCCTCCTGCCGCGGTTGAGGTCCTCCTGCCGCGGTCGAGGTGCTCCTGCCGCAGTCGAGGTCCTCCTGCCGTGGTCGAGGTCCTCCTGCCTCTCTCTCCTTCGGCAGCTGCTGCCCACTCTGCTTTCTGGTGTGGTCTTTCCCTCTGGGCAGCCTCCGCATGTGGCTCGTGTCTCAATTCACATCTGTCTCATAGTTAGGATTGTTTCCTCACCTGAGGGGCCCATACTTTAATTGTATCGTTACAATTCTATCTCGATGGTTCCCGGGGTGGTGTCTGTCATCTCATGTAGAAGATGAGAATCACTGATACTTAATGAGCATGTATTATGTATCCACCACTGTTCCCGTTTTATAGATGAGAAACAGAGACTTAGAAAGGTAAGGACGGAGCTGGAGTCGGGCCTGGACAGGGATCCCAGAGCCAGGCTCACACAGGTGCTTGGACAGGTGTCACTGGAGGGCAGTCCCGAGAGGAGCTGGGAGCCAGCACCGTCCCTGCCCCAGCTTTGCCGCCTGGCCCGGCCAATCCTTGGCGCTGAGCTTGGTGTGCCGGACCCATTCGGGGCGCCCCTGCCTTCCAGGTACCAGCCTCCGAACCTTGCTATCTCCACCCTCTACTGGAAGGCCTGGCCCCTCCTGCTGGTCGTCGCGGCATTCAACCCAGAGAACATCGGTGAGCCCCTGCTGGCCGCCGCGGGCACACGCATGGCCCTGCTGGTCCTTCTTTTGGGGCAGTTTGTCTGTTGGGACTTGGGATGAACCCAGCTGGGGACGAGAGGAGGAGCTGGGAGAGGGTGGGATCACACGCCTGGTGCCCAGGGGAGCCTGGCCAGCCCCACACCCTCCGGTTCCCTAGGCCTGGCTGCGTGGGAGGAGTACCCGACCCTGAAGATGCTCATGGAGATGGTGATGACCAAGTGAGTCCGCACGTCCCCTCGGTGGGCCCAGGGCGGGGAGCAGGGCCTGAAGTGAGTCCTCTCGTCCCCTCGGGGAGCCTGGGGCGGGGAGCAGGTATCGTGGGGACCAGGTGTGTGTCGTTGGGATCAGGTGTGTGTGTGGCTGTTGTGCTGTGGGGAGTGGGCGTGTGTCTGCCTGTGGTTTTGTAGGGACTGGGCGTGTGTCTGCCCGTGGTTTTGGGGAGACCGGGCGTGTGTGTGCCCGTGGTTTTGGGGTGACTGGGCGTGCATCTGCCTGTGGTTTTGTGGGGACCGGGTATGTGTGTGCCCGTGGTTTTGGGGTGACCGGGCGTGTGTCTGCCCGTGGCTTGGGGGGGACCAGGTGTGTGTCTGCCCGTGGCTTTGGGGGGACCAGGCGTGTGTCTGCCCGTGGCTTTGGGGTGACCGGGCATGTGTCTGCCTGTGCGTTGTGGGGAGTGGGCGTGTGTGTGTCCTGAGGTGGGTGGCACAGCTGCTTCCTCCACCTCTGAAGGAGCAGATTGACTTTGGGGCCTTGGGGTCAGAGCTCAGATTAGAGCAGCCATGGGGAGTTGGGTATAGGAACACGCCAAAGCCATATGTGCCTCTGTAGGCAGAGAGTCCCTGCCCTGCAGGTCAGTCCCTGGATGGGTGGGCGGAGCCTGCGTGGCTGTCATACTGGGCTGTGCTCCCGGCGTGGGTGGCGTGGGCGGGAGGTGGCCTGGGAGGAGGCCGGGTTCTGATGCTGCGGCCTTGGCTCTGGTAAGGGCGGCATGCTGCCTGTGGAGGACGAGGCCGTGGCTGGACCGCACCTCATGGCTTCTCGCTGTGCTCTGACAGCTCTATGGATGCTCCCGGGCGCCCTGTGCTCCTGACTCCTGTGCAGCAGGCAGCAGCGGCCACAGGGGTTTTGACCCTTCTTAACCCTGAGCGTGGTCCGCTGGGAGTGAGCCCTTCGTGGGGGACAGGGTGACACACTCCTCTCTCTGGCCCTAGCAACTACTCCTACCCGCCGTGCACCCTGACGGATGAGGAGACCCGGACGGAGATGATGAACCGTGAGCTGCAGACTGCCCAGCGGGAGAAGCAGGAGATCCTGGCCTTCGAGGGGCACCTGGCAGCCGCGTCTACCAAGCAGACCATCACTGAGAGCAGCAGCCTCCTCCTGTCGCAGCTCACCAGCCTGGACCCCCAGTATGCAGCCCACACAGCCCTGCCCCACGCCTGCCGTCAGGACCTATGGGTGATTGGTGTGGGTGGGACAGAGGCTGAAGGAGCAGGCGGAACCGACTGCACTGCGGCAGACCCTAAAAGGCCTGTGGAGCCCCACCCCCATGTCCCTGGCTTACTGCTGTGGGGCCAGGCCTTGGGGACATCCCAGGTCAGGACGGGTCGCCTATCTCGGGCTGTCGGCTGCCCCTCGAAGCAAGGATGGGAGGAGGGGGTGTTCTGGGGGTGATCCGCTCAGGGCATGCTGACACATCATGTCCTCTGTGACCCTCAGAGGGCCCCCTCGGAGGCCTCCCCCTCACATCCTGGATCAAGTGAAAAGCCTCAACCAGTCCCTCCGCCTCGGGCACCTCCTGTGCCGCAGCCGAAACCCCGACTTCCTCCTCCACATCATCCAGCGGCAGGTGAGCTCAGAGGCTCCAGGAGGTAGAGATGGCGGTCTCGGGAGGCCCGGAGCCTTCCGGAGGCCTTGGTGGCCAGAAGCGGGCAGGACACACCTGGATGCCAGGCCCATGAGCTGGCTGCTGTGTGTTGTCCTTTCCGGCTCCAAGGTCGCCCGGGGGGCTGGTGGCAGGTGTTGGGCCCAGAAGGCGCTGAGCGGGGGCTGCTGTCACCTGCCCAGGCCTCCTCGCAGTCCATGCCCTGGCTGGCGGACCTGGTACAGTCCAGCGAGGGCTCCCTGGATGTGCTGCCCGTGCAGTGTCTGTGTGAGTTCCTGCTGCACGATGCTGTGGACGATGCTGCCTCCGGAGAGGAGGACGATGAGGGCGAGAGCAAGGAGCAGAAGGCCAAGAAGCGGCAGGTCAGGGCTGCCCACCCGCCTCTCACCCCGCATCCCTGTCAGGGCTGCCCACCCCTCAGCCCACCCGCCTCTCACCGCACACCCCTGTCAGGGCCGCCCACCCCTTGGCCCACCCGCCCCACACCCCACATCCCATCTGCCTGTTTTGTCACTTGCACCCCTGAGAGCACCCTCCTCCCCACAGAGGCAGCAGAAGCAGCGGCAGCTGCTGGGCCGCCTGCAGGACCTGCTGTTGGGCCCGAAGGCTGATGAGCAGACAACGTGTGAGGTGCTGGACTACTTCCTGCGGCGCCTCGGCTCCTCCCAGGTGGCCTCCCGTGTGCTGGCCATGAAGGTGAGGTGGTGGGCGGGTCTTCCTGCGCATGTTCTTCATGTTTAAAATGAGTAGGCTGGGGACCAGGCACGGTGGCTCAGGCCTGTAATCCCAGCACTTTGGGAGGCCAAGGTGGGAGCATCCTTGAGTCCAGGAGTTTGAGACCAGCCTGGGCAACACAGGGAGACCCCATCTCTACAAAAAATGAAAAAATTAGCTGGGTGTGGTAGTGTGTGCCTGTGTTCCCAGCTACCCTGGAAGCCAAGGCAGTAGGATCACTTGAGCCCAGGAGTGTGAGACCAGGCTGGGCAACACAGTGAGACCCATCTCTACAAAAAATAAAAGATGAAAAAAGTTATCTGGGTGTGGCGGCATGCACCCGTGGTCCCAGCCATTGGGAGGCTAAGATGGGAGAATCACTTGAGCCCAGGAGGTTGAGGCTGCAATGAGCTGTGATCACACCACTGCACTCCAGCCTGGGCAACAGAATGAGACCCTGTCTTAAAAAGTGAAAGTAAAAATAAAATGAGTGTTCAGTTCACCCCGACTGTATTTTTAAGTTCCTTGCCCGCGTAGGAGGGGTGCGCTGTTGAAACGTGAAGGCAGACCCCGCCACCTGCCTGTTGTTCCTTTCCTGCTGGGGACGGGAGGGTCCAGAGTGGCTTCACGAACGTGAACAGAAGCGTTTAACAGAAAGAGCTCAGACTCATTTTTCCCTTTTCCCTGTGGCCTCCCCTGGGAAGCAAGCACCACATTCTTCTCGGGGCTCTGAGGGCACTGCCGTGTGCTCCCGGGGCCGGGCTGAGACCCTGCCCGCACTGCTGAAGCCAGCCCAGCTCACGCGTGTCTGCCACAGGGTTTGTCGCTCGTGCTTTCGGAGGGCAGCCTGCGGGACGGGGAGGAGAAGGAGCCCCCCATGGAGGAGGATGTGGGGGACACAGATGTGCTGCAGGGCTACCAGTGGCTGCTGCGGGACCTGCCCCGCCTGCCTCTCTTCGACAGCGTCAGGAGCACCACAGCCCTGGCCCTGCAGCAGGTGAGGGCGCTGACCAGGGCCGCGGTGGGCGGGGATGAGAGGGCCACAGCCCTGCCCCGGTGCTGCTCAGACCACCCTCCCCTCTAGGCAATCCATATGGAGACCGACCCCCAGACCATCAGCGCCTACCTGATCTACCTGTCCCAGCACACGCCTGTGGAGGAGCAGGCCCAGCACAGCGACCTGGCCCTGGTGAGGCAGCAGAGCCAGCCAGCAGAGTGGCCCTGGGGAGGGGATGGGGGCAGCACAGAGACCCCGCCCTGGGTAGGGTATGGGGCCAGTGGTGCAGTGCCCTGGGCTGGCGGCTTCTTGGGCCTCAGGGAAGCATTGAGGGTGGGAGGGCTGTTACAGCTGCTGTGCTGGTTCCTCTGTGACCCTGTGGCCACCTGTGTCCCTTCCTTAGTCACCACTCACTCCCTGGAGCCTTTCTCCCTAGTCCCTGAGGGTGCGAAGTCACAGGGATGAGGGTGCCTTGTTCACAGCAGGGTGGAATCTGAGCCATCAGCCCTCTTCCCCACACCAGGAGGGTTTGGGCTGTGGGCCCAGGTCGCTGGGCACCTGCCCGCTGTCCTCAGCATCTCTGGCTTACATGTGTGGCGCTGTCTCCTGTCTTCTCTCCTGGGTGCTATCCTTCTCCGCTGGGCGTCTTCCAACTTTGCACTGCTGTCCTCTGTCCCCAACCTGCGCTGTGACCTAGTGAAAGTTCGTGGCCCGAGTCCTTGGGGAATGAGCGATGGGTGAACAGATGGTGGCTGCTGGGCAGAGGGCAGCAGTGTCTGCCTTCAGGGCCTGGTCATTGTCCTTGGCCGTGAGAGTCGTGTCCTCCCTCCCGCCTGGAGAGTCCGGCCCAGCTCTGGTTGTCTCCCCTGGAGGCCTGTGGCAGAGTGAGGGTCTGCGGTGCTGGTGCTGGTGCCGTGGGCCCTGCCTAAGATCCCAGTGAGGACGTGCCTGCGGTAAGGCCGCCCCAGCTGGCCGGAGAGCCGAGCTGTCTTGGAGCCTCTGACACCCCCCTGTCCACACACCAGGACGTGGCCCGGCTGGTCGTGGAGCGCTCCACCATCATGTCCCACCTCTTCTCCAAGCTCTCCCCGAGTGCCGCGTCGGACGCCGTGCTGAGCGCTTTGCTGTCCATCTTCTCACGCTACGTGAGGCGCATGCGGCAGAGCAAGGAGGGCGAGGAGGTCTACAGCTGGGTGAGGCCGCGCAGCGCGCTCGGTGCCGACTTGGTGCCCTTGGCGCTGGCCCAGGGTCCCCGAACCTCACGGCCCTGACTCCGCCTCCTTTCCCGCAGTCGGAGTCTCAGGACCAGGTCTTCCTGCGCTGGAGCAGCGGGGAGACGGCCACCATGCACATCCTCGTGGTCCACGCCATGGTCATCCTGCTGACGCTGGGCCCGCCGCGAGGTGAGCCGCCACGGGCACTGAGAGGGCAGCTTCGTGCCAGGCGGGCCATGGCCCTGACCACACCCAGCGGCTTCCGCGTCCTTGCCTTGCTTCTGGGCGGGAAGCCCTCCGGCCCTTTCACCCAGTGTCCTAGCTTCTCTCCTAAAGAGGAGGCTGCAGTCCGTCCCGCGTGTCTCTGAGCACTTGGTGGACACGTGGGAGATCCCCGCGTGGTGTGACCTCCCAGCCTGGAGAACCCTGAGCTGGAGGGCCTGGTGTAGCCTGCAGTCAGAGTCCTCACTGCCCCAGCCTATCTGTGTAGGCCTGCGGTGCCTGGGAGGCGGCAAACTCAGGGTTTCACTGTGTGGAGGTGCGACATGAGGCTGCCAGGCAAGCGGGTCCTCTCCCCAGGGCCCGGGCATGTGACCCTGAGGACGCTCTGGCCAGCGCAGTGTTGGGAATCCGGCGCCCACCCAGCCATGCCCTCTGTGGCCGCAGCCTTCCGCTTTGTTTTTGGCTGACACCAGGAACTGCTCCCACGTTCACCCCATTGTGTCTGCCAGTGGGGGAAGGGGGCGGAACCCCCTTGCTGGGGTTTGGGTGGACGTGAGCAGGCTGTGCCAGGGTGGTGAACCCGCTTGCAGAGGTCGGGTGGATGTGGGCAGGCTGTGCCAGGGTGGTGAACCCCCTTGCAGAGGTCAGGTGGATGTGGGCGAGCTGTGCCAGGGAGGTGAGCCCTACTGGGAGGCAGATGCAGTCACAGGTGTCACCCTTGGGAAGGGCAGCAGGGGAAGCTGGCCCTGTGTGGCCCTGGGTCTGTGGGGTTTCCCATTGGCTTTGTGGAGCCAGAGAGCTGGATGGGACCTGGTTCAGCCAAGCAAAGCCTCGAGGGCAGGGGCTGGACAGGGACACGCACATGTCCGCTTGGCCAAGACAAAATGGCGGTGATACTGCTTGCCGTCCTGCAGTGTCTGTGAGGATCAAATGCGTGCACCTACGCAGAGCATCCGTGAATAGCAAGTACTCTAGCACGGGAGCCCCGTGCTCCTCCCAAGCCTCAGTTTCCCCCTTGGGAGAGGAGGTGCCTCTAGCCTTGGCACCAGCTGTGCTTGGGGCTGGGCTCCCGGCGGGTCTGAAGGCTGCTCACCCATTGTCCTTCCTGAAGCCGACGACAGCGAGTTCCAGGCACTGCTGGACATCTGGTTTCCAGAGGAGAAGCCGCTGCCCACCGCCTTCCTGGTGGACACGTCGGAGGAGGCGCTGCTGCTTCCGGACTGGCTGAAGCTGCGCATGATCCGTTCTGAGGTGCTCCGTCTGGTGGATGCCGGTACGGCCCAGGCTGGGCTTGAGTGGTGGGGGCTGCTGACTCGGGGGTCCCGGACCTCTCACCTGCTCCTCGGCTCTGAGGTGCTCCACCTCATGGACGCCGGTACGGCCCAGGCTGGGCTGGGGGGCAGACCGCTGACTCGGGGGTCCCGGGCCTCTCACCTGCTCCTCCGCTCTGAGGTGCTCTGCCTGGTGGACGCCGGTACGGCCCAGGCTGGGCTCGGGGCGGGCTGCTGACTCGAGGGGGTCCCAGGCCCCTCACCTGCTCCTCGTGGGCCTGGACGGTCTCCGGCCGTGGCAGAGGAGAAGACTGGCCAGGTGGCCTCAGGGGATCCTGCAGATCATATGTCCTGGCCACAGCAAGCTGTGCTGGCCCCTGGGAGGAGATCTAGGGCAGCCTGTGCTGGCCCTGTCTGGGAGGGTCTTACTGTTAGGCTCAGGGGCCTAGAGTGAGAAACGGGGCCTGGACGGAAAGATGAGAAAGTGGTCTGGGGTTGGAGGGGAGGAGGGGAAGTGGTGGGGCCTCTGGGTTGGTCCCTGAAGGATTTGGGGGTTGAAGCTGCAGCCGGGGACCCCAGCAGGGGATGAGCGTGGGGCCTGGGCCCACGTAGGTCAGTAGGGCTGGTGCCTGGTCAGTGAGGAGACATGGGGGGCAGCTTGGTGAGTAAGTGGGGCTGGCTCAGGAAGCCCCTGACTGCCAAGGGGTCTAGGCTATTGTGTGCCCGCGGGAGCCGTCGATGGCTTCAGGGTAAGAGCGCCATCCTGAGCATTGAGAGGAGATAGTCACGGCGCCCTGTGTGCAGTTCGGGAGGTGTACTGCGCCGTGCCACCATAGGCCCTCTGGTGCGTCCACCCACCCCCGGGGATGGGGCCCACACAGCTGCCATCCAGGGCGCAAGGCGGTCCTGAACTGCTGTCCCCTTGTGCGGCCCCAGGTCTCGGGTGGGGCTGCAGAGTGTGCACCGCTGTGGGTCTTGGGTGGGGTCACTGAGCACGTGTGGCCCAGGGTCTCGGGTGGGTGGGGTCACTGCACACAGGCAGCCCCAGGTCTCGGGTGGGGTCCCAAGTGCCTGTTGCCCGGGTCTCAGGTGGCGTTACAGAGCACGTGCACTCTCAGCCCTGCAGGACCTGGAGCCGCAGCAGCTGCTGCTGTTCGTGCAGTCCTTTGGCATCCCTGTGTCCAGCATGAGCAAACTCCTCCAGTTCCTGGACCAGGCGGTGGCCCACGACCCCCAGACACTGGAGCAGAACATCATGGACAAAAGTAAGATGCCAGGGACCTGCGGAGTGGGCCACACACGCTGACCGAGCCCCAGCCCAGCCAGGCTTTTGGGGCCTGGGTGCGAGCGGGTGGGTGATCCGAGGTCAGCTGGGTGTGGGTGGCACTCGAAGCCAGGCTTAGAGCTGTGGGCCAGCAAGGCTGGCACAGGCAGAAGGGAGCCGAGGCCTGGGCCTGCCCCAACCATGGGGCCAGACACCCTGTCGGGCCTGTTCTGAGGTTGGAGGGACTGTTGGGGCCTCGATGCTCACTGAGCCTGCCCAGCTTCTGAAGTCCTTGGGAAGTGTTGGAGACCGTGGGGGTGTCCCCAACTCTGGTGTCTGTAGAGAGGGGAGGACCTGCCCCTGACCCCTGGCCGCGCCCAGGCGTGACCCTGCTGCTGTTTGCAGATTACATGGCCCACCTGGTGGAGGTCCAGCATGAGCGAGGCGCCTCCGGAGGCCAGACTTTCCACTCCCTGCTCACGGCCTCCCTGCCGCCCCGCCGAGGTACTGGGGAGGGACGGGGCCCACACAGAGACCCAGCCTAGGGAGGGAGACGGGACCTGCGTAACCACACAGTGCAGTGCACACTTGCTGATGTCACCTGAGAGGGGCCCCCACAGAGGTTCTCGGCCGGTCTTTGGTCAGCGTTTGCCTCTGGCCACCATGTGGGTTCTCGTTGAGTCTGAGATCCCTGTGGTCCTGAGCGAGACCTGGGGTCCTTGGGGAGCATGGAGCCCAGGTCTGAGCTCTTCCTCCTGGGTGACGGTCCCCAGGCAGGGCTGACCGTGGCTTGCAGAGTTTCTGCCACTGGAAGCCAGTCAGGAAGTGTCCAGCCGCTGATGGTTCTCCTGTCTCTGCAGACAGCACAGAGGCACCCAAACCAAAGAGCAGCCCGGAGCAGCCCACAGGCCAGGGCCGGATTCGGGCAGGGACCCAGCTCCGGGTGCTGGGCCCTGAGGACGACCTGGCTGGCATGTTCCTCCAGGTAGCGATGCTGCTGCGCGTGGGTCTCTACCTGCAGCCCCTCTTCCTGTGTACAGCCTCCCCTGCCGCCTCACATGCACAGCGGCCTTGACATGCGTGACCGCCTGACCCTGGCACATTGCTTTCACGTAACACTCCCATGCCCTCAGATGGAGGCTTAGGCCAGCATTGGGGAAGGGGGTCACCCTGCCTCCTCCCTGCCGTCCTTGCACGCCCCTCTGCACAGGGCATCCAGTTTGATATATGCAGAAGCCAAAGTTGCAGGTCTCACCCGAGGTCTGGCTGTTGGAGCCGGGGATCCTGCAGGCCTCACCACCTCCTGATGGGGAGCCTGGTGGGCCCTGGGCAGGCTCTGGACACCTTCGTCCTCTGGGGCAGCTCCTGGGTGTTGGGGTCCCTCACTGCTCCCCATCACAGGTCTCAAGGGCCCTGGGCCCCTCAGGCCACAAGGCGGGGGCCACAAATGAACAAGGAGTTGATGGGACGCAGTTCTGGCATGAAGCTGCACCCACCGGGCACTCAGCCCCTCCGCTGGGCTCCTCTTCCTCCGCTTCCTCCTGACACCGGCCTGCCCTGTTCCAGATCTTCCCACTCAGCCCGGACCCTCGGTGGCAGAGCTCCAGTCCCCGCCCCGTGGCCCTCGCGCTGCAGCAGGCCCTGGGCCAGGAGCTGGCCCGTGTCATCCAGGGCAACCCTGAGGTGCCGGGCATCACGGTGCGTGTCCTGCAGGCCCTCGCCACCCTGCTCAGCTCCCCACACGGCGGCGCCCTGGTGATGTCCATGCACCGCAGCCACTTCCTGGCCTGCCCGCTGATGCGCCAGCTCTGCCAGTACCAGGTGCCCGGGTGTGGGCCTCGGGTGGGAGGAGGAAGGAAGGCAGTGAGGGCTCTGCCTTTCGCAGGACGGCCTGGGTGTTGTGACTGCTCCTGTGTGGGTCTTGGGTCTTGGTTTCTAAGCAAAAAAGGACAGTGCCCCAGGGAGCGGCGGCAGGGTCCCCTTTCTTCAGTGAACATTCCCCCGGGACGGGAGGTGGGGCAGTGCGGCGTCCGCCTGTTCGCGCCCCACCACCCAGGCGCGGCACCCCTGCCTTGCTTTCCCCGTCTGCTGGTGCCTGGGACTGTGTTTTACTTGCATGTGTGTTTATTTTTTCCCTTGAACCACATGGGAGCCCTCACCAACTGGGGGTTTTGAAACGGTCTTTGCGAGGTCATCTGGGCCTGTGCAGGGGAGGCACCGTTTCAGGCAGGAGGTGGGATGAGGTTGGCTCAGGCCCCAGGTGCTGGTCACGGCAGGTGTCAGCAGCCTCACAGCCCCGGTCTGGGCCTTGGGTGCCGGGTCCTTGTGTGTCATCTGCCAGGATAGCCACATGCCACTTTGTCCCCGCAGCGCTGTGTGCCACAGGACACCGGCTTCTCCTCACTCTTCCTGAAGGTGCTCCTGCAGATGCTGCAGTGGTTGGACAGCCCTGGCGTGGAGGGCGGGCCCCTGCGGGCACAGCTCAGGATGCTCGCTGGCCAGGCCTCGGCCGGGCGCAGGCTCAGCGATGGTGAGGACCGTGCCAGACTGGCAGACAGCTGGGGGGCACTGGATGGGGGCTCACACAGAGTGGCCAAGCTGCCTGGCACCCCGAGGCCCGGGGAGTGACTTGTGGGGGGGGTGCCTGCGTGGACCCAGGGGAGCTCTTCTACCGTGGGGCCTCCCTGGACGGGGCGTACCAATAGGGGTGAGGGCGGAGCCACAGGGCACTCACACAGACCTCCCACAGTGCGAGGGGGGCTCCTGCGCCTGGCCGATGCCCTGGCCTTCCGTCAGGACCTGGAGGTGGTTAGCTCCACTGTGCGTGCCGTCGTCGCCACCCTGAGGTCTGGGGAGCAGTGCAGCGTGGAGCCCGAGCTGATCAGCAAAGGTGCCTTCCTGGCCCAGTCCCCTCGGGCCGCTGGGGCCTTGGGAAGACCCAAGCCTGCGGCTGCTTCTTGCTGCCTAGTGGGGGACGGACAGTGGCTGCTCAGCACTGTCCTCAGAAAGTGCCCACAGAGGTCCCCTCTCAGATGGCCGAGGGCGGGGCCTCTTGAGAATGAGTTGGAGTTTCCTCCTTGGGGGGCCCCCCGATCACTGCTGCACCCAGCAAAGTGAGCCCCGGCCCCGGCTGCACTCTCTGGCCCTGGCTGGGCTCTCCTGTTGTGTTCCACACACGGTCACCCCACATCCCACCCTGGCTAGCCCACACCCACTCGGCAGCCCCCCCGACCTGGGCGTGACCCACATGTTTATCTGTCCCTTGCACAGTCCTCCAGGGGCTGATGGAGGTGAGGTCCCCCCACCTGGAGGAGCTGCTGACTGCGCTCTTCTCTGCCACTGCGGACGCCACCTCCCCGTTTCCGGGCTGTAAGCCTGTGGTGGTGGTGAGCTCCCTGCTGCTGCAGGAGGAGGAGCCCCTGGCTGCGGGGAAGCCGGATGCGGATGGCGGCGGGTGAGCTGGGGTGCTGCACACGGCCGGGGCAGGCGGGCAGGCGGCACCAGCTCCTCCCTGAGCCACCTTCTCCCTGCAGCCTGGAGGCCGTGCGGCTGGGGCCCTCGTCAGGCCTCCTGGTGGACTGGCTGGAGATGCTGGACCCCGAGGTGGTCAGCAGCTGCCCCGACCTGCAGCACAGGCTGCTCTTCTCCCGGAGGAAGGTGGGTGGTATGCAGCTTCAGCACGGGGACTCACCTGGGGTCTAGGGCTCTTCCTGACCTGCAGTGCAGCAGGCTTGGCCTGGGCGAGCCTTGCAGGGGCCCCAGTAGCCCCCCCTGCTCTCAGGCCGTGTCCTGTAGCAACCCAGAGGAAGGGCAGGGTCCCCTGTTGGCCCCAGCAGAGCCCAGGCCAGGGTCACAGTCGCCTGTGGACCAGCCAGATGTGGGGATGGGGCGAGTGGACGGGGTAGGGTTGGCCACGCCAAACCCTGTAGATTGTGTAGGGGCCTCCGTCTTCCCAAAGGGAATGGGGCTGTGGCCAGGAGAAGGGAGGGCAGGTGCTGGGCTCCCCAGGTCCCCCGCAGGGGAGGGATGGCCTCACCAGAGAGGCTGCACGGAGCCCTGGGCACCTCCACTCTGTGGCATGGCTCCCATGGGAAGAGGTGGGGAGATGCTGCACAGCCACCAGGAGGGGCCCTCCAGCACCACATGACGGGGCCGGTGTCACCGGCAGCACCCCAGGCCTCGGCTCTCTGAGCGGCTCATTGGGGAAACCATCAGCTGACCTCAGCAGAGCCTGCCATTGGCCCCGGTGAGGCCATCTGGGCTTCTTTCTCCCTCCCCAGGGCAAAGGTCAGGCCCAGGTGCCCTCGTTCCGCCCCTACCTCCTGACCCTCTTCACGCATCAGTCCAGCTGGCCCACGCTGCACCAGTGCATCCGAGTCCTGCTGGGCAAGAGCCGGGAGCAGAGGTGGGCGCCTCCCTGTCCCCGACCCGGGCCACGTGCACACTGGCCTTTGCCAGAACTCTCCCAGCGCCGGCTCTGACTGGTATCTCCCGTGCTGAGACGAGACACCTCATGCTCAGTGGAACCCGTGCCTCCCCACAGGTTCGACCCCTCCGCCTCTCTGGACTTCCTCTGGGCCTGCATCCACGTTCCTCGAATCTGGCAGGGGCGGGACCAGCGCACCCCGCAGGCAGGTCTTGGGAGGGTGGCCCATCCGGGAGAGGGCGTGGCGCTCCGGGACTGATGCAGATGCCTGTTACAGAAGCGGCGGGAGGAGCTAGTGCTGCGGGTGCAGGGCCCGGAGCTCATCAGCCTGGTGGAGCTGATCCTGGCCGAGGCGGAGACGCGGAGCCAGGACGGGGACGCGGCCGCCTGCAGCCTCATCCAGGCCCGGCTGCCCCTGCTGCTCAGCTGCTGCCGTGGGGACGATGAGGGTGTCAGGAAGGTGACGGAGCACCTGTCAGGCTGCATCCAGCAGTGGGGAGACAGGTGCTCAGGCCCCCTGGCCCCAGATGCTGCCTGGGAGTGAGCCCCATGGAGGGGGTCGAAGCCCAGCCCCGGGTGGTTCCCCATCACGCCTGGTCCCGTCCTCCCACCCCTGTCACTGGGGCCCCGTCCGCCTGGTGAGCCCTGCTCCATCTCTTCCAGTGTGCTGGGCAGGCGCTGCCGAGACCTCCTCCTGCAGCTCTACCTACAGCGGCCGGAGCTGCGGGTGCCCGTGCCTGAGGTCCTGCTGCACAGCGAAGGAGCTGCCAGCAGCAGCATCTGCAAGGTGAGGGCACCACTCTGCCGCTCCCTGCGCCGTCCCAGGTGCCCTGGCCGGGCAGGGAGGGAGGGCAGAGGCCCCAGTTTGTGTGGCCATCACCAGCTTCACCTCTTGTCCCTTCCTGGTCTGTGCTGCCCTGTGGCCCTGTGGGTTTGTCTGCATTGAGTTTTATACCGAGGGGGCCTGCAGGCGCTTCGCTCGCGGGGCGCCATCCTGCAGAGTCTGGAGAGTCGTGGTGTCATGGGCACTGAGCAGCCTGCCATCGTGTGGATGGACCGTTGGTTTATCTGCTCACCTGCTGGTGGACGTGGAGTCACGTTCAGTTTGGGGCAGTGACAGCTGCTGGGGACTCGTGCATGGGCCTTAGTGGACGGCTGCGTCCGCTCCTCTCCAGTCACCCTGGGGGCAGGGCTGGGCCTCTCGTGCCCGCTTCCCCGCCGCTGGCTGGAACCCGCAGCCTGTCTTCTGCTGGTACCACAGAGGGCAGCTGACTTTCTCTAATCATTTCTGCCTGTGACTTTTTTCAGTTATAAGTTGTTTTATATGTTGAAATCATACTTGATGTGCAGTTTTGCAGGGAGTTTTTGAGGCAGGGTGTCTGCTGCCAAGGCTGGAGTGCAGCAGCACCATCATAGCTCACTGCAGCCTCAACCTCCCGTGCTCAAGTGATCCTCCCACCTCAGCCTCCCGAGTAGCTGGGACCACAGGCATGTGCCACCACACCCAGTTAATTTTTTTTTTTTGAGACGGGAGTCTCTCTCTGTCGCCCAGGCTGGAGTGCAGTGGCCGGATCTCAGCTCACCGCAACCTCCACCTCCCGGGTTCAAGTGATCCTCCCACCTCAGCCTCCCGAGTAGCTGGGACCACAGGCATGTGCCACCACACCCAGTTAATTTTTTTTTTTTGAGACAGGAGTCTCTCTCTGTCGCCCAGGCTGGAGTGCAGTGGCCGGATCTCAGCTTACTGCAAGCTCTGCCTCCCGGGTTTACGCCATTCTCCTGCTTCAGCCTCCCGAGTAGCTGGGACTACAGGCGCCCACCACCTCGCCCGGCTAGTTTTTTTATATTTTTTAGTAGAGACGGGGTTTCATTGTGTTAGCCAGGATGGTCTCGATCTCCTGACCTCGTGATCCACCCGCCTCGGCCTCCCAAAGTGCTGGGATTACAGGCGTGAGCCACTGCGCCCGGCCATCTTTTTGTATTTTTAAAAACAGAGACGGGGTCTCGCCATGTTGCCCAGGCTGGTCTGAACTCGTGGGCTCTGGTGATCTTCCTGCCTCGGTCTCACAGAGTGCTGGGATGACGTGCATGAGCCACCGCACCCGCCTGGCCGATGTGCAGTTTTGGCTTGTTTCCCGCTTTGTATCATTTGGTGTTGAGCTTTGGTTTTATTCTGTGTGGGGTTTTCCCAGAGGCTGGCTGTGGCCTACCTGCCCTCCTGGGGTGCTCATGGAAGCCTTAAGGAGCCAGTTCCTCTGCTCATGGCATGCCATGTGGTGGATCGCGGCCACAGCTGGCGGCCAGGCTGAGTGTGGGCGGGCAAGTGAGGGGAGCCAGCGGCCCCAGCCTCAGAGGGCCCCTCCCTGCAGCTGGATGGACTCATCCACCGCTTCATCACGCTCCTGGCGGACACCAGCGACTCCCGGGCGTCGGAGAACCGAGGGGCGGACGCCAGCATGGCCTGCCGGAAGCTGGCAGTGGCGCACCCACTACTGCTGCTCAGGTGCTGCCTCAGAAGCACTGCCCTCACCAGACGCTGGTTTAACCAGGGCTGTGCGGCTCTCCAGCCTGGGCAACAAGAGTGAAACTCCATTTCAAACAAAAAACAAAAAGCATGTTTCCCATGGGCTGAGGTTGACGGAGGGAAGTCAGAGCCCTGAGTTGGGCCTCAGGTGGGAGGAGCTAGGTGGGCCCCAGAGAGGGGCAATGTCATCCCCACCTCCTAGGGCGGGGGTGGTGTGGGAGTCGGAGTGGGCAGCCCAGGGTCTGGCTCCCGGGGCGGTCAGTGGGGCCTTCCTCGGGACATGTGCCATGTGAGCCGGCTGGCCGGGGCTGACTGGGCCCTCACTGCGCCCGCAGGCACCTGCCCATGATCGCGGCGCTCCTGCACGGCCGTACCCACCTCAACTTCCAGGAGTTCCGGCAGCAGAACCACCTGAGCTGCTTCCTGCACGTGCTGGGCCTGCTGGAGCTGCTGCAGCCGCACGTGTTCCGCAGCGAGCACCAGGGGGCGCTGTGGGACTGCCTGCTGTCCTTCATCCGCCTGCTGCTGGTGTGTGCTCCCGCCGCCTGCCCCCGTGCTCCCTTCCACTCCCTCTGCCCTGGCCCAGGCCTGCCGCCTCCACCCGGGGAGGGACTGGGAGGACCCCTGCAACCAAGGCCCAGGCCAGGCCACCTGCCCTGGGGACCAGCTCCCACCCTGGGAAGCCCCTGCCTGCTGCCCCTCGTGTGCCTGGAGGTCCCACGTCCTGCAGAAGCCCAGCCCAGACCCTCCGTGCTGCTCTCTGCGTGTCGCTTGTGCCACCTCGAGCCCCTCATCGATCTGGGCATGTGCCCCAGACGGCTGTGTCCACACCCTGACAGGCCACGCTGGCCACCCTCGGGCCCGTGACGCCACAGTGATTGGCAGAGGGGGCTCATTGGCTGGGGGCTCGTTGGCTGTGGAGTCCGTGCCCTGAGGCTCTGGGAGCAGATGGGAGCACAGGCTGTGTTTTGGCCCAGCGGGGCAGAGCAGCTCGAGGGTGCCGCTTTTGCTTTGCAGAATTACAGGAAGTCCTCCCGCCACCTAGCTGCCTTCATCAACAAGTTTGTGCAGTTTATCCATAAGTACATCACCTACAACGCCGCGGCAGCTGTTTCCTTCCTTCAGAAGCACGCTGACCCGCTCCAGTGAGTGCCACGGGCTGCAGGGAAGCCTCGGGCCTCTGGCCAGGTCCAGCAGGGTCTGGAGGGTGTTCCCGGGGAGGCTGGGTCATGTCAGATCTGCGGCTCCTGAGGCAGGAGAGGGCTGCTGTGCGTGGTGCTCATCCCAGGGGGCAGAGGCCGCTCCACCCTGCGCCGGAGCTGTCCACACCCACCCCTGCAGCTCTCTGTCCTGTTCCACGCACACATGGCCTCCCCGCCTGGGCCTCCCCTGACCCAGCCTTCCGCCCGCCAGTGTCTTCCTCCCAGGTGAAAGCATCTTCTCTCCCTAGCGACCTGTCCTTCGACAACAGTGACCTGGTGATGCTGAAATCCCTCCTTGCAGGGCTCAGTCTGCCCAGCAGGGACGACAGGACCGACCGAGGCCTGGACGAAGAGGGCGAGGGTGAGTGGGGCTGGCAGGGGCTGCTGGAAGCAGCTGCGGAACAGTCCTGGGGGCCTGGTTTTCCCGGCTGCACAGCCAGCCCTGGGCCGTCTGAGGCATCCTGATGGGGTTTTGTGAGCCGGGACCTTGCTGACTGGCTGGCCCCTGGCCCACCTCATGGGGACGAAGTGCTGACTGGTGCCTGACAGAGCATCAGCACACCTGCCCGGCACATCGCCCCACCCGGCACATCACCTCCACCCCCGGCACGTCGCCCCGGCACCCCGGCA